TAAGTTCCAGATTTCTCGAAAATTATGTTTTTTATTCCTGTATTTGTTCTCATTCAACAATATAATAACTGCAAGAGATATGATATGCATAGAGCTGATTTCGTGTGTTTGTAATACGAATAAGCCTTATGAAGTAACGACGTACAACGTTTTGCAGTCGATGCGATATTTGTGCTTTTGTTTCTGATTTAATAAATAACATGCGACATGTCAATGAAGTTAAAATTGAGCAAATCCAGTGTCCCTTTTCTGTGCATTATACGACAGGCATACCGTAGTATGTCCTATTAGATCAGACCTAAGCAGATAATGTATTTGTCCAGGACTACATATAACTCTTTATTATATATTAATTTAAAACTTCCACAAAAGTAAATGTGGTGGGCCGCGCTACAATCCTCGCTATTGCACGAATGTAGTCTGTGTCAGATGAAGCTTTAATAGTCTCGGGACTGAAAGCACAAACATCAGTTAAGACACGAATGTAATGGTTCGGGGAAGTACCACAATCTGACACAAGAGCGGTGTGAAGTAATAGATTTATACTTTTACATTTCGTCAGGTGAGTGAGGTAGCCGGGGCTCCTTTTATTAAATCATCATCATGAGCAACGCATTGGAAAGTCTACATTGCAAATGACAGCGGATTTGACATAACATAAGGTAAGCCGCCAGCTCGTTTGCCATCTCACATAAAAAAAAAACCTTACTACTTAAACATGTTTATTTTAGCGATGTTTTTTAGAATAATGAACAAAAACGTTAGTCGTGGGATTCGAACCTACGTCTTCCGACATATAGTTAGGCGAACGATTAATTAAACCACGCGATATTGATAGCCTGTAGGGCTTTCTTGTTGTACACGTTCTAACAATTTACAGAGACGTCTGCCCAAAGTAATAATACTATCGAGTGTGAGAAAAACGAAGGGCTACTAACTAGAGCAAATGCAATTCACCATCCATTATACAGTTCAGCTTGAATTAGAGCAATCGTGTTTCTTATGCAATCATAATTCCGTTCCCCGCCGTTCCATTAGTTTTGGTAGATGAACATCTACACTAATTCACCTAAGTGGCGATAACAAAGCCCATAACGGTGGGATAGTGGTGGTGGTTCTACGCGACGAATCAAACTTACTTATCACTTGTTAGCGCTTGACTGTGGGAAATGGGTGCTGTCCATACACACTGCATACAGAAGGATTCTCCATTCCGTACCACTTCGAGTTCGATGACATAGTTACGGTAAGCTATTAATTTTACTGGTACGTTTTTGAACAACAGAACAACCTTTAATTCTATGTGTAACTTCTTTATGGACGACTTGGTGTCATGGCTAAATTGTTGGTTTCGGCGCTGGGGTTGTAGGTTCGAGTCATACACGGGGACAGTATTTGTGTTACGCACGGATAACTTTACCGGATCTCGGTGTCCTGGAAACATTCCAGGGAGAATTGATGTTGTGCAGGCAGCCGGTTGGAAGAAATGTAGCTATTGGCAACAATAAAAAAATACCTCAAATGTTACCTGCTATTTCGGAAATACCCAGGCACCAATGAAATTATTAATGGTATTATGTAAAAAAAGGAAAAGTATCAGCCTATACATGTTTTCTGCTAGGCAAAGGCCTCTTCTGTACAGAGGGTATCAGGGCGTAGTCCACCACTCGGCTCCACTGCGGATTGGCGGACTTCACATATCTTCGAAATATTTTTTCTATTATAATTTCGAAAACATGCAGGTTTCTTCACAATGTTTTCCTTCAGCGCAGAGCACGTTATAATTCAGCACTTAAAATTAACAATTTCATCGCTGCCGGCACCTGGGATCGAACTCAGGTTGCTCACGTATATTGAATTAAAAGCGAGTGTCCGGACACTGAGCTATTATTGTATATGTAGGAGATAACATTTTATTAATTAATGAATCCCTTTCGAATATCATCATTTAATAACTTCATACTTTGTCTCGGTATCCCAGGGCCAAGTAGCTTTGGCGACACGAATCACGGATACAAACGCAGGCATAACGGCACCAGGCGCTTTGTTGAGCGGCAAACATCCTATGTGGATGCAAGATGCTCGCTATTGGCCGGTAAGTGAACAAACAGACGCACCGTGGGTACCGGCGCGGGCAAACACGGGGCAAATCACATTAGCAAATTGTGTGTGCCCACGCCAAATGCTGTGAGAAACTCGTATACGGGAAGTGGCGTCGTGAAGGAAGTCCCGAGTGGCTACTCACGGCCTCTTCCGGGCTCCACGACGGCTGTTTTGTTTTATTACAGCGAGCGCGCTAGTTTGAGACCAATGTGTATGGGTGAAAACAAATTAGCGTGTACAATAATTCCGTAATAATCTTTATATATAACTAGCTTTTCGCCCGCGGCTCGCGTTGAAGCCCTTAATTTAATATCTTCCTTTCTCAGGATCTAGACTATCGGTGTACCAAATTTCATTTAAATCGGTTCATTAGTTTTGGTGTGAAAGCGAGACAGACAGAGTTACTTTCGCATTTATAATATTGAGTACGGATCATTCTGTGTGTGTATGTGACTGAACTCCTCGTAAACGGCTGTACCGATGATGCTATTTCATCTTTTCACGTATGTTGGGTAGGTACTAACTCGCATATTTTAATTAAATTTTTATAATAATAAGTTGTTGTCCGATTTAGATGTGTGTACAGGACAACGTCAGTTGGGCCCGCTATTAGAGTATAACATAATAAATAAAAGCATCTAATTTCTTAATATTTGACAGTCACCAAGTTAGATTTGTACTGATTTTTTTTTTTCGGTTTGATTTGCCATACAACTGGCACGCAGGCGGCCATAAAGCCCTAGTGGCACGCAGGCGGCCATATACCAGGCACGCCCTGAATAAAACAGGAAGAGGCTTTTGCCCAGCAATGGGACATATATTGTCATAAGTAATTGTCATTGACAGCTACGGCTGTTGCACGAATAAGCAGGTCCGTTCGGATTAGGACGATGACCTCACAGAAGACCGGCGTGATGTGGATGTGTTATACTTCTGCGTTTCGCCTGGTGTGTGAGGTAGCCGGGCCCCACTTTATTTAAAGGTGGCAACGCATTTGCAACCGCAGCGGTTTTGCAAATGTCTATGTGCGGCGGTTATCACTGAATCAGGTGAACCGCCCACTCACTTGCCACTTTCTAACATATAAATAATACAAAAATAGATACAAAAATGCATTGTTTTGTCTAAAAATTTAAAGAGAAAAAATAATGATATTTTCCACTAGTGAAATTTAGTTAAGTTGATATATATGAAAATTAAGAAACAAAGCGAGTGTATCCTTATTTATAGTAACGTTTCTAAGAATGCTAGATTATAGTGTTCAAGGGCAGTTCCGTAGTTCCTTAGGGTGGCTGCGCGACTTGACTCGAACAGGATAATTGTGGTTGCCGGAGTGTCCCGACTCTCTAATGAGTAATAATAAGAACCACCCAGAGAGATAGGGACAAGCTCGCGAGTCACCGAAGTATGGACACCGCTTTCGTGAAATGGTTTCGTTAATAAAGTTCAATTTTTTACTATTTTAAGATACATTCGGCGGATATGTATTTAGAATTATACATATAAACATATAATAGTTAACCATCTTTCACACATCATGATGTTTACAAATGAATTTTAATGTACGTACACAATTAACTACCATTTGTAACCAATTTTCAGTCACAGGTCTGCTGGAAGAAATTTCTTAAGAATAAGCAGGGTCTTTGTACAAATTCTTTCATGTATTTACATTTCTGTCATAATCTCTCATTCATCATCTCTTTGTACATAAATTATAAATAAAATAAATAAATAAATAAATTTTGCGCCATCTTAACGAATTTAATTTCTTTTGGTGAATCAATTAACTAACTTGTACATAGAGCCTTCTGTACACAGAAATTCACACTTATTCAGACAATTATTGCTGCATTCTATTAAGAAGAAAAACATATTGAAAAAACTTGTATTTTCGAAAACCTGTATTTTCGAGATAATTAAAAAAACATTACGAAGATTTATGTGAAGTCAATCCCCGTTAGGGTCGCGTGGATTATGCTCTTAAACCCTCTGTATAAACTAGGCCTTTGCCCAGCATTGGGACACATATAGCTTGTTAGTTTAAATTTTTTGAATGCGTATTTAAGTCGAGGCAGCTATTTCCACGTTAGCGACCAAGTTGCCCGGGAACCTTACGACTTCATTAGGCCGCATCAAGGGGCCGGTCACGATTTCGTTGCACCGTTCCAGTGCACCGTTTGACTCCGTGCCCGCTAAGATATAGCTTAGTCAAGTTACTCGCCCAAGTCCAATTGCAACACATGCTTCATTCAATGAAATATGTGCGTTCAGTATAAACGATCATCATTCCACACGATCCTTACGTTTTTGTTTCTATATGTTTTTTTACCTCGGAGTGATTTTCGAAAAATAAATTATAAAATGACACTGACAATTGCACAAAACTTAAATCACAGGAGATGTACGCTTCCATATTACGTGGATTATTTGCGATCAGATCATCTAAATTGTTAGCCATACAATATCAGGATGAATGCTTTATTCATCCTGATGTTGTAGATTTTAATTAGCGTGCCTAGACTTCATAGGTAGGTACGTCAATAGTGTTAATACTCGCTCGTCGTCTAAACGTAGCACGGACACTACCGGTGGTAAAGCAATAGCCAGCGCTGGCTCGGCGAGCGATCGGGGTGCTATTCTACATCGCGCACGTTTCGCTAATGGGTTGCCTTGGACAAAGTCCCGATAAGGCGGCGTTATCGGAAATAATTTAATAAGCCCCCGACTTTTTCTCGCCGGCTTATTATGGAAGATTTATCCTCGACACGAGTAATTAATGTCGCGTGCTCCGCGAGAGGAACGCGTAATTAGGCTTTAGCTATCACGAAACGTTTTCTCTGGCGGATGGTGTTCATTGTGGTAGAGGAACAGGAAACGTACCAACTCCTATCCTAAACTCCTGGTCCCCCCTTTCTCATGGTGGTGGGCTGGGTGAAAGGAACCCACACTGAGTTGGTCTGTTGTGTGAGACAAGCCCCGGTGAGCTCATTGTGCCCACTCTGGTTGATTGAGGTAGCGTCTCTCTCCCTCTTCTCTGCAAACGAGGTAGAGTCGAGAGGAAGAGGCGTTTGTTTCGTATCGGTGGGGCTGCTTTGCAGCAGTGAAGTGTTTATACTGCCATGCACCGTGCTTCGAGTCTTCGCGACTGAAAAATCTTGAGCTGTGTAGCCACTGACCAGGTCCACAGGCTCTTGTGCCTCTTGTGAACTTTGAGCAATTGACTTGGTGCAATCCGAAACACCCGAAAATAAATTTAAAAACAAACGCAATAAATCCATAAAACTAGTTTCATTTAATTGTTAGCATTAGCTTATTTATATTATATATATCATTCCTTCGTGGCAGCTTGAGGGTTATGCCTATGTTCTGAAGTTGACTCGAACAGAACGAAATGATGATGATTATAGCATCTTAGCGCTTCGTATTATACAAGAATTGAAGGCAATAGAGCAGAGGTTTCTATTGATGGTGTAATAAGGTCGTGTTTTACCTTTTTGGTACGGAACCCTAAAATCGATTATAACAAGTTCTTTTTATAACGAAAAACAAGATTTCAAATCTCGCCCTGTTTCATTTTATAAATGATTTTCAGGAGTACTAAGTACGAGGGCGGGATGATAAGTAACTAGCCTAATAAGAAAACACTTAACTTTCCGTGATAAAATTAATTTTATTTTTCGACATACTCTCCTTGAACCGCTACACACTTATTCCATCTTCGTTCTAAAGCAGTAATGCCTTCCAGAAAATGATTTCTTTCGAGGCCTGCAAAATACTCCTCTACGGCGGCTATGACTTCATCATTTGTGGCAAATTTCTTTCCGCCCAAAAAAATTTTGAGCTTAGGGAATAAGTGGAAGTCTGATGGCGCTAGATCAGGCTAATAAGGTGGGTGAGGCAGCAAATCATACTTCAATTCGTTGATTTTTGCCATAGCTTTAACACATGTGTGAACCCTAGCGTTGTCTTGGTGGAAGATGATTTTTTTTTTCACCAAACCTGGTCGTTTTTGCTGAATACATTGATGAAGCTTATAAAGAAGATTAGGGTAGTATTCACCATTAATTGTTTGACCTTTAGCAAGGTAATCTATCATCAAAATCCCATCTGCATTCCAAAAGACGGAAGCCATCACTTTTCCAGCCGACTTTACAGCCATGGCTTTTTCGGAGCCGGGCATCCCGATTGAGTCCACTGTTTTGATTGAATTTTTGATTCTGGCGTGTAATGATGAACCCATGTTTCATCTGTTGTTACAAATCGACGTAAAAAATCGGCCTTATTACTCTGAAAACGGTCCAGACATTCTTTTGAGTTTTGCACCCGAATCCTTTTTTGATCGTGCGTAAGCATTCGCGGCACCCAACGGGCCGATAACTTTTTCATATTTAATTCCTCACTTAGGATATGATGTACCCGTTCTTTTGAGATACCTGTAGTGTCAGCTATTTCAGATAACTTCAATCGTCGATCTGCTAAAACCATATCATGTACTTTCACGACCATTTCCGGAATCGTAACGCTTTTTGGACGTCCGGGGCGGGCTTCATCTTGGAAACATGTACGACCGCGTTTAAACTGAGCCACCCAGTTTTTTATTGTGGCATAAGAAAGAGCACATTCACCCAAAACATTCTTTACATCGTCATAGATATCTTTCGCCTTCATCCCCTTCATATGAAGAAACTTTATCACCACTCTCTGTTCAATTTTATCCATTTTGAAAATAGTTGACGAAATATATTTTCAAATGACAAAAAAACAATAAAATTTTCACGCCACCTAATTCAAATTTAGAACACAGGTGGCCAGAGATACGAATTTAAAAATGACACATATATTTTTTTAATTTTAACTTTTTAAATAGCAATGGCTAGTTACTTATCATCCCGCCTACGTATCTCCGGAGCCAATGTTTTCAGGTTTCAAATAAATAGAGAATAATCGAAATTGGTCCATCCAGTTGAAAGTTATGAGGTACCAAACATAAAAAAATACAGTCAAATTGAGAACCTCTTCCTTTTGAAGTCAGTCGAAAATAACAAATATTTTTCGCTGGTCTTCCCATACTGGGAATTAGCGCTTTTACTCGGAGCGAAGCTCCTAGATATGGCAGCGCCGTCGTGTTCGTGCATTGTCGCCGGGATAATAACTTAATAAGCGCCCTCTGGCGCAGCCTGGCGTAATTACAAATTAGAGAATGCTCGCGCCGCGCACACTGCAGATTGCTGCGCTGATAGCGGGGCGTATTCTGCAAAATTTCCGTCCATTCGAAATTTGAATACACATTTGAAATATAACCGAAAACATTTAATGGATGGGACGGTTTAGGATATCAAAATAATAATTCAGTTGACACGGCGATTGTTAGCCACCGAATGTTATCATCAAACAGTTCAATTTACAATGGCATGTTGTACAGATGTGGTTGTAAAATGAATTTAGGTAATCGATCTACAAGACTTTGAGAAATTATGAGACATATTCTTAGATGTGTGCGTCCTTATTAAAGATGGAATCATTGAAGTAGGACAACGGAAAATCCAATAAAAATCCGAACTGAGAACCTTTTTTGTTTGAAGTTGGTTATGAAGACAACAACTTATCAAAGTGTGAATCATTCATCAACATAGATAACATATGATTTTTTTAAAATTTATAATCCACTCTTCTTAATATATAAAATACAAGTAATGTATATACAAAAAAGGTTCGGCTTTTCTGAAATGTGAAATTAAAAGCTTTAGTATCTACTAGGCAATTAGAGAAAGGAGTTTTCTGTCAGAAGAAGAAACCAAAGGCGAAGACACAAATTTTGAAATATTCATTTACAGCGTAATATACGCATAATTTATTTAGGAATAATTGTTAAAGTCAACTGTAGCAGAATGACCCTTCCAGTCCAGGTTCGCCAAGGGACCCGTAATGGGCTTAATGCCGAGGTGAGTCTAGTGCAGGCACAAGCCTTATCGATATTTGACAACTTTACCCGCAGTTCGTGGCTATTTACGAGGTAATTTTGTGTGCCTCGAACACGATGTCCCGTAATTAATTACTGATTACATTAATTAAGGGAATATCGAGTTGAGAGTGAGCGAAGACGTCTTTTGTACTCTTTATGTCGAAAATACAGAATAAATGTTTCAGAATACGACAGTTGAATACTGAGGAAGCTTGAATACGAGAAGTTTGATTCACGAAAGATTGGTCGTTTGCGTCGATTGTCGTAACTCGATAACTTACTTAAATAATTGAAATGTCAGATTATATCTTGACAGTACTATTGATGGTGGTGTAAAGAAAATAAGTAGTATCTACATCGTTCATGAAACAATTTAAGCAACAATTGCAAAGTTAAAGTTTTAATCAATACTTCTTTTATTTAACCTTGTCAAACAAAGGGATTTTGTGTGGTAAGGATGTTTTACAAACGTTAATTTAACGTGCACTAACACCTAGATCCGAAACAATCACCTATCGAACCGACGGCCCCCGGCGCAGTATAATAATATCACTTCACACCTTCTGTGAGGCTCGTAGTACCTTCTAGAACGAATCTACCCATCACTGTAATAGCAGAAGCTAACCTTACCACAGGTAAAACTGAGACGTCATCAGGGCATCAAACAAATCCTCATCCCAATAAATGGAATTCCGCAAAGTATTCGCAATATCTTTGCAGAATTAATTTATAAGCGATAATCTAAATAAAAATTACTTTCTCTCAAAATTCTGAAAAGAGCATACCTTAGTACCACCACATAAATTCCAACATTTTACTAGAGGCGCCACATCATATCTTGGTCATGTTAATTGATATTTGTAATGTTGCGTTCATTTATTTGTTATATTATCTTTTAACCGTCCAATTAAATGTCAGTTCTCCACAGTTGGAACGAGCACTCAATCTTCGGTCTTTTCTATATAATGATAATGTCTCTAATCGAATGCGGTTTACAAATAATTTTAAGGATTTCTGCTAACCCACAATTAGTCATCACTGCAACGTCTGCTTGTAATAGTTCAGAGATAGTGAGTGTTTGAGAATACTATTTTTAAGTGATTGAAAGGGAGCAAACCGCGCTTGATGATAAACGTAAGCTACACTTTGGAATTGCGATATTGCAAACTTTTAGAAATTTATTTTATATTATTTATCTCTTTTACTTCTCTTCCTTGAATTTTATTTACTTCCATAAATTGTAAATTAGAATATATAAAACTACTTAATTATGTTTTAATTCTGACTTTGCAATAACTTTTAACACTAATAAGCACAATAAACTGAGACCTCTAAAGAGGTTTTATTGAAATTTTTAGGATTTATGTGATTATATCTGCATATATGGCTTCTCGTTATTTAAACAACGCGGTTGCAACAATAAGCAAATTTGCTGTCAACTTTCATATAAGCTCATCGTCAAATCGATGATGTAACTCACTCATGCTTGGTCTAATGAACTCATAGAAATCTATTCTCGCAATACTCAATGCAGTTGTTAGGGAACATAAAGTTGGAAGTGCTCTGGATGATGAGCAATTTACAAAGGAAATCAGTTTAAGCGTCGAGACTCAAGAGGTGGCGGACTGTAAAGTCTCGCACTCAGGAACGAGATTACGGTGCAAATTTGCATAAGAACAATATCGTCTAAGTTGATTGAACTTCATTGCTAGAGTCTATTGCAAATTGTATTAATTTTATAAAAATAAAAGCAATGTAGTCTATTATCAAATTTGTAGTCTCCTAATAAATTTAGCACCCAAGTCTCATCTGAAATTTGAAAGTAACGTAACAGCCTATACATGTCCCACTGCTGGGTAAAGGCCTCCTCTATACAGAGGGTATCAGGGCATAGTCCACCACGCGGCCCCATTGCGGATTGGCGGACTTCACATATCTTCGATTTTTTTTTGTTATTATTTCGAAAATATGCAGATTTCCTCACGATGTTTTCCTTCACCGCGGAGCACGTGATAAGTCAGCACTTAAAGTGAAAAACTTCATTGGTGCCGGCACCGGGGATTGAACACAGGTTGCTCTAGTATATTGAATTAAAGGCGAGCGCCCGGACACTGAGCTATCACGGCTCTGAAATTTGGCCAAGGAAAATTCTCTTTTCAGCGTTAGTTACCTCTTTAATCTGCTTACTAGATCTTAGGTTTTTATAAGGTATTAGCAATTCTTCGTCACAATCAATGACATGTGTTATAGCTATTACTTTATTTCAGTAATATACCTACTGTAAAACTTGTCAATTGTTTACTCAATTATTAACCT